GTGTATGTCGCCCGCTGTTCATTCCTAGCCAAAAGCATCGTCGGTATTTTCGGAATAAAGCTACCTTGTTGCCTTTCAGGACAGATCGCGCCATGTTTCATCTGCTTTGTCAGCCATCTCATTTCCAGTGATTCCGGTGAATGTGCATTTTTCACCTTGTTGAAAGTAGTCTTTTAGTAACTATGCTGTTATATTTCGAGGGTTTTCTTTTTTTCGTTATTAGGGGATATAGAATTAAAAACATTTCACTATCTTCTATGAAATGAATGCAGCATAGCGAAAAAAATGATTAAACAAACGGCAAAAAATTAATGTATAATTTATTAATAACTAGTCTTTGAAAAATATTAAAAAACGTTATTTACATAAAAACATGATAGAAAAATTAATTAAAGGTTTCAGACGTCGAAGAACGCAAGTAATAAATTGCAAATATAGTTATTTTCATTTTAAACATTTATATTTCAATAATTCTTGTACCGTAAATTGCGTTTTTTTTTTGTTTTGTTTTTAATTCGGGAATCGGTAATTATTAAAGAGAAGGATGGTTGGGGTGATCAGTTAGAAATAAAAAAGCTAAAATAAATAATAATATTTATTTTAACTTTTGCCGACGTTTCGACCTGAAGTTCAGGCCTTCATCAGGGCTAAGAAAAGGACCAGATAACAAGGTATGAGAAATATAAACAATGTAGATAAAAAAATTAAAGTAAACTGAAGTGGGTACAATAATGGGAATAACAAGAACTAAAAAATAAATAATAATAATAACAGTTACAAAGTGTGAAATAATGGAGTAAACATAATCAAAATAAGGTGACATAAGTACTAAAATGGTAATCTTAGAATAAAATGTAACACATAAAAAAGAAATATGAAGTTATATAAGAAATAAAAATAAATAGTAAAATTAAGATATTGTAAATAGAATACAATTCTAAATTATGATCGTGTACTTAATTTAATAATTTAACTATCTTGAGCAGTTTTTGAGCAATTTCTTCTTGTTCAATAAAAACAGTGAACATCTCAAAAAAAAAAAAAAAGAAAGCACAAAACAATGTCTCCTATTCCGTTCAAAATCGGTCCATGTCTCAAATGAACTTTTTTGTTAAAAACTTTGTCTAGAATCACCCCGTAGAGTTTGACCATTAAAAAATGAGACACCCTGTATATTATTAAAAGTCAAGGGACATGTTTAATATTTATTTAATGCTTGGAAATCATTCATGTTATTAAATATAAAATTTCGCCTTGGATTAATTTAGAGAAATATTGATCAAAATTTCATAATTTACTTAATAAGTTTTTTTTTTACATAGTTACTGATATCCAAATTTAACTGATAATAATAATAATAATATAAATCATTCATCTAAAACTAACAAAATGAAATATATAAGTAAATAATAAACAAAGAGGAAGTGGAACATCGTTATTTTTTTGTTTCTTTTTTTTTTTGCCCGCCCGTGATTCCGTAGCCGGATGTGTTCTCAGGCCATACCGAACACCTGACGATAGTAGGTAGTAGGCTCGGCACTTGTCTTCCCCTAATAGCCAAGGCTGTGGAAATATCAACCGACGGATGTTGATAACATTTTTGTTCAATAATTCCTTTCTTTATAGCCAAATGTATGAATAAATAACACCCAAATTTATAAGCAATGTTGGAATACTCCCATGTATCGTATCGGATTCTATATACGAACATTAATAATTTTTTTTCGATTAAAAATTGTATTATAAAATATTGAAATCTCCTATATATTTGTTCTACATAGTGTAATATGTTTGATTAGGTATTAAAAATAAATAAATTGAAAATTATATAAAATAAAAAAATTAAATTTTCTAGTCACATCATTCAGGTTCAGTGCCATTTTCTCATAAGTTTTTTATAAATATTAGGCCAAAGCTCACCAAATGTACACAGTTTTTACATCCTGTATTATTTATTCGACGTTTCGGCTTCAGGAGCCATTTTCAAGATCCTGCAAACTAATTTTAATTAAGTTTTTACTGTTCAAAATATATCCTTATCAGATGCATATTATTTAACAACTATCAGTAGTATAAATAGTCCAAATTCTATTTTTTTTTTATTTAATAATTTTATAATTGTGGGTAAATGGTTTACTGTAATACTCCCATAATACTGTAATGCTTCATCATTCCACACTTTGTAACGGTTATTATTATTTATCTCTTAGTTCTTACTATTGTCATTTTTCTAACAACTTCATTTTACTATAATTTTTTTACCTACACTACTTATGTTTCTCATACCTTGTTATCTGGTTCTTTTCTTAGCCCTGATGAAGGCCTCAACTTCAGGTTGAAACGTCGGCAAATGTCAAAATAAATATTATCAGTTATTTTTGCCTTCTTATTTGACTGATCACTCCAACTAATCTTCTCTTCATTAATAATTTTATCTCTTCTGTTCACTTTTCTTAAAATTGGTGTCTTAAGGTTTTCTTTTTTACACAAATTAGCCCACTATTCACCAACAGTTCATTTATTAGCTATTAATTACGACGTTTCGACCATCCTAAGGGCCATTTTCAAGTCTTAATGAGTCCTCCATTAGATGTTCATTATTAATGTCGCATTAATTTGTTCAGTGAAAAATGAAATAGTCCTGCTATTATAGAGTTTCCCGTACGTCATTTCTGGAGGGACTGATTTTATCACTTACAATTACTGAAAATCTATAGTTGTTGAAGAAATTAAAAATGAGCTAATTTATAAACTTAGCGTTATTTTCATAGAAGAGATTCATCAATCAATTGAATCCAACACCGGTAGACAGAAATGTATGCTGGTTAGGAACGACCTACTGGAATCCAGCGGAAGGTTACGAGAAATATGAAACATGAACAATAAATATAAAGGGAATTTACTTACTCAATTTTTGAATTTCATAAAATAAAGCAATATACCTAGAAAGTATATGAAAGCATATATATATTACTGTACAGGTATATTACTAAACAATACTGAGGATCCCAGTGGATCATCTACCCCAAAAGCCGATGGAACCGCTGAGTCTTCGTTGACTCAATGAATGAAAAGGGGAACTAGCTGAATTCCATTTGTGGATCCATAAATAAGTTTAGGAATGGTCTGTTGGATTTTCAATACACCCATTAATGAGCTCAGCGATGTGTTTTGGAAGTTGCCCAGTAAAGACAGAAAATACAGTTCACCAAAATAGTGTACATAAGTTATAAATAAAGGTCTCGAAATCTGTGTGCATTGTTGTAAATTTTTAAATTCAGCATAAAAAATATCGGTTTATTGCAAAAAAAGTCATCACGTGACGTTTCTTCTTTGCCTTTTCTCTTCTACACAGTGTGGGGAGCCTTTCGATACAGCCTGATCCATAAATCCCAATCCGGTACCAGCTGCATCCTCTTCGTCCACTCCAGACCTCTCCTGTCGAAGGCCTCCATCAACCCTTTATTCCATGTCTTTCTGGTCTTCCTTCAAGTCTTTTTTCTTCTGAGATAACTTCGTAGGCAGCTCTGGCAATGGGATTCTCAGACACCGAAACACGTTTCCTAACCAACTCCAGCAATGTTCTTTCAATATTTTCTTGATTGGTGTCATAGTTGCTCGCTCTAATCGTAATGTTCCTCACACAGTCCCGTATTATCCCTTCCGTCGACCTTCGTAAGGTATCTCATTTCCATTGCTTGGATCTACAAAGTTAGTTGTATAAGTGCCATCTCGAATCACTAAAGATTTTGATGAATTTTCTCTTATTAAAATCAGAAAATTAAACGCTTGTTATTATTACATCTAATATATAAAGCGGTTTTATTGCACTTTTTTTTAAATCTATAAATAAGGTCGAAAATAATCATATACATAGAAGTTCAGCTTCATCAAAAATGTATTTACAATTAGGGATTTGATTGAAATTAACCGAAAATATTAATACAGAATAGTCCAGTTTAAATAATCCAGCTCAGAATCCAGCTTAAAATATAGGTTGATTAATTTTTAGGAGCATAACGGATGTTTATTCATCTATGTAATAGTTAACAGTAAATTTTTAAATACCTAAATCTTTGGAATAATAATAATAATAATAAGGCTTAGCGAACCCGAAGGTTCGATGCCGACACCACCAATCGCTTGTTACACACCTCCATCCACCGTTCGCCGTCCAAACCCAGTCCCTTCAGATCGGCTTTAATGCAATCTTCCCACCTTCGCTTCGGTCTACCCCTCGGACGCTTACCATTCGGCACATCAAATATTAACCTTTTAGGAATTCTCTCGTTACTAAGCCCAACAACTTTACAAGCCCATTTGATTCGCCGCGATGAAATTACCTCAATTATATTACCCGGATACAGCTCACGCAATTCGGCGTTGTGTAACCGTCTGAACTCTCCGGTTAACTCATCCTTCTTCGGCCCGAATATTCTACGCAATACTTTATTTTCAAAAACTTTAAGACGCTGTTCATCCCTTAATGTAAGCGGCCAAGTTTCGCATCCATAAAGAACTATAGGCAAGATAATTGTTTTATAGATTCTAATTTTTAAGTTTCGGGACAAGAGGCGCGAACTAAGTAGTTTTGTCACAGAAAAATAACAAGCATTCCCCGCCTTCAGTCTAACCTTAATCTCTTCTTCAATTTCGTTTTTTTTCGCTTTAGGGGATTCATGGCGCAAGTTAAATCTTTGGAAACTGGTTGATAATTTGGTCAAGGTTTTGTAATCTGGTATAAATTAATACAATTATTATCATCAATAAATGTTTTATTAGAGTTTAATGGGCTATTAAAATCTAATGAAATTGGAACCTGGATCCAACACTACTGTTAAATTTACATTTGGAACAGATTAGCTGGAGGAAGCTCATTACTTCCAATCCTCAGATCCACCCATAAAGCTTTCCGTGGAGGAACTTTTTGCTCGCTGGTTCATCGAGCCATATGAGAAGGTAAATCAGTCCAAATCTCCACTCGGGAAGAGAGTCGTATATCAGAAGAGGCCGTCCCCTTCCCATCTGGGGCAGGTTAGGGAGGAAGTGGGTGCAAGTGTTCCTCTTCCTCTTGCGCATCTGCCTTCATTCATAACTAATAGAGTTGCCCCCTGTCTTAAACGAACCGTATGAATGGTGGGCCAAACCTCACGTTTTTTACTAACCCAAACCCAACCGATCTCGAGAGCAGTGGTATCCGGCAGGAAGTGTCCCTTGGTTGACAATACGCCTGTCAATGTCGTCGCCTCATTAGTAGGGTAATCCTAAAATAGGATGGGAAAATGAGGATGTTTTTTAATTATAGTATTTTAGTTATTTCTCAGTAGTTGGTTTAAACTTATAATTAATTTTAACCTTCCAGCGGACACACATATGTCAGATCCGTCCTTTTGTCCTATCCATTCCTTTAGATAGGCACCAACTTACTTCCAATACAGTTCTAAACACGTCTTTCTATTTTAGGCAGGAAGCGAGAAACACCTTTTTGCTATCTTGTTAGTTGCAGGATGAAATGATTCATTCTTCTTTTATTAGTTCTTAGTCTTGACATTTCTTAATAAATTCTTATTTGCCCGCCACTTCTTGGCCAAAAGTCCAATTTAATAGAATAAGCACTCGTAATTTATTTTGTTTTCTTTATCATTTTTATTTGGACGTTTCGTGAATACCTCGTCCTTCTCTTCAGCACATATTTTATCCTGAATTAAAATATCCCTATAATTTTTCTTCTCTGTATATATTTCACTATTATTTTGCATATTTGGTGTACTTGATTCATTAGTCAATACTTATTTTTATTATCTTCCCACTCTTATAGGCTTTTATTATCTATTTATTATTATAGGCTTAATTGAAGAAATTAGATATTGAAGAGGGGGGGGGGACAAATTATCTATGAAATGTTCTAATAAAAACGATAAATAAGTTATTATAAATTAAAAATGTTTATTTTGTTTTATTAGACTCATGGGGAAGGAGTGGAGAGAAAATAAGATTAATTTTTCATTAATAGGATGCGGAGTAACTCGATGGGTAGGGCACTGACTTCCAATGATGGCAAGTAACTGTTTATTCTGTTACATTAGCCGTGGATCGACCGTAGTCGGAAAACCCTCTTGGGGCACACTCAGCCTCTATAAAGTGGGCACTCTTAATTAATTACTAATTACGAGAGAAAACTTGGCAGTTGAGCGTGATCTCGGTCAAATCACCTCCTTGTACAACCGTTGACCAAGAAATAGTATTTCTCTACATTGTACTGAACCCAAGAACTTTTTCATGGATTGTAGTGTTACTGGTTTTATCATTTTTTAAATTTTAAATTCTGCTTATAATGGTTTAATACTGCAATGATCTGACGAGATGGGGGTAGAAATATAATGGATTATGGATAGATAATTATAAAAATAGATATTATCCTCGTCATATGGATTCTTTGATTTTATTCAAATTTCGAAATTTTAATTTTCTTTATTCGAATCCATGTGACGGTCATTATATCTACTGCCGTTAATTTTATTAAAAGAAATTTTCATTAACTGTAATGGTTGGTTACCTAGATAGTCCAATAGTAATTTTATCATATTTCGTTCACTTCTCAAGCAGCGTTTTCTTGACAAGACTATACTTCGAAAACGGCTTTTCTCCAAGATTTTATTCTCAAACGGCAAATCATAGAAACATAAGTAATTACGTAAGAAATAGTAATGGTGAGGAAGCTATACTGATTGTAATTGGGAGTGGCTTTTTAAACAGTTATTTGTTGCTTATTAAATTAATTTAATATAACCAACTAATATAAAATATAACTAAAATAACCAAGGCAAGATAAAACATTGATTCTAAAACTAATAAGATCGAACTAGTTACAACAGAAGATTGGGAAACTGAATGGAGAAATTGCAAAATTAGAATAGAATAGAAAATAATTTTCTTCTGGGACAAAGTCCCTTTAGAATAACAAAAAAGTACAAAATTAAATTATTATGTCTGGTCTAAATAATAACAAACACAAAAAATAAAAATAAGTAAAGAAAATATTAGTTAAACATACTATATACAAAATTAAAAAAAATCTATATGCAAAACACTTGAAACCATGCCAAGACACTTAAAAATATGTACAGTGATAAAATATAAATATACACTTTTAGAAAAAAAAAAATACATTACATTCTTCTTAGCTGTAAACTCTGTAGTCCTGTTGAAAAAAAAAAAAAGAAAAAAGAAAGTTGAATCTGATAGTAAGTATTTAAGTGATGAGTTATATGTAAATACATCATTATGAATAATATGTAATTTTACATAAAAGGTTAGCAGGTATCTGACTGTTTTTGGGACAGGAATTGGAATAGGAAGGTTTTAAATGTAGATAGGGAGGGAGAATACCGAATTTTGATAGGAAGGGAATCCTGGAAATTAACAGAGCGTGCAATAAAGGAGTTTTGGAACGAGGCAGATCTGTGAGAAGGAATGTAAAAGTCGGAAGGTCAAGATCTTGTGGAAAGGGAGTGTTGTGTGGAATCTTGTGGAAAATTAGTTGAAATCAAACTAAATTCAAAAATTCACAAATGGAAGACGAACGAGAGAAATTCTAGGCGGAAAGAAATTATTTTATGGCGTCTCAACTGAAGAAGGTGAAGAGCAAAAAAAAAAAAAATTACTTTTTAATTAAACATTTTTATGGAATAAGACAACAATGGAGTTACTTTGACACCATTTGTTTCCCTTCTTTTCATACCGCCCATTTCCATCCTACTTTCCACGTCATGGCAAAGAGCATATTATTAATTTTCACCAATTTCCCGGTGAACGATTGTGTTTAATGAACGGTTGGAAATGTAACGATAGGTTAACGCAATTAGTGACGGTAGAGCCGGTGGCGTGACATATGACAAGGGGACGGGCTCCGCAATCCGGCAGATAGCCGCTAGTTATTCCTGCAATTTCCGGTGCTGGCCAGGACATGCTAATTAAATCCCTTCCGATATTAAGGCTGATGGTTTGGTCCACGGTCTAGCGGTGACCCGGGGTCGTCAACTTGCCCCGAGGAGTCCATCTTTACCGCTACCAAAACCTAATCTTATTTCCAATCACCCGCTAATAATATACATTTTTTACGGAATTTATAACGCTGGTAATAATCGATATCTTTTCTATCTCGATTCTTACTCGTCTGATTACCAAAATAACTGACTATGATCCATACCTTATAACTGAACAGTTTTCATTTTAGATAGAACAAAAAATTGCTCGAGACCATTAGGGATAAACTGAAAAACAGTTCTAAAATAAAAAAATATAAATAGATTTTTACAAAATTCTTAACTCGAAATTACCAGAACGATTATTTTAGGCATTTTTACAATGATTAAAAAATAAATGAAGATAAAATTATAAGATACCAATTAAAGCTATCAAATGTGTCAAATATAAAAATATAAGATTATGTCTTATAAATATAGACAAGAAGTAGCAAAAATATTATAGTCGCATTGTTAAAAAAAAATACTAATAGTGATAGTACGTCAGTATGAGTCTTTTCTTTATTTCTGATGTGACAGTCACAGCAGCTAATTATATCACATAAAATTGGAGAATCTTATGTTGAGCTGCCAGAATCCGAATAAACTTACTGTCAACGGTATAAGCGTTGAAAAAATTAAAAACTGAATGTTTTTTATGTTATGTTATATAGTCCAGTAAAATGTTAAGGAAGCAGACATCTCCCGGCTAAACTGTGCCTCCATAGAAAAGTATCACTTTATTAAAAAAGTAAAAAAAAATATAATGATGTAGAGATGGTTGACCGTGATATAATGTGAGAAGGAGTTGGTCGGGAGATGAGGTCAAATAAATACAAAATATTTATTTTATGGATCAGTTTATCGACTGCCTTCTGCAGTGCCACGTGTCCTGATGAATACCTGCAAGGTGGGCCGAAACGTCGGCGTAATAATTAAAAATACTATTTTCTAAAAATTTAGTATTTATTTGACTGCACCCCACTTCCCCCCGACCGACTCCTCTTAAAAAAAATTTCATTTATAGTTTTTGTATGAAAAAAACATTATTATTGTTTCTTTTTCAAAAATAAAAGCCGCTTTAATGGTAGTTTACCTTTAAGCATCTTAATGAGTACTTTAGCTTCATAAAAAATCAAATGTTTCGATTTGAACATAATGCGTTTCCACGATAAATTTGAAAAGGTTAAAGTATAAACGACAAAGTATAAACAACCATATTTTGGGGAATTATACAAATTTCATCAATTATAAACTTGTTCCAGATTATATCCATTTAATCTAATGTATAAAATAAGGAATATAGCTTTTATCAAATTTTTTATGGAGTGATATTTAAGCTGAAATGCTCAGTTTTAAGCTACGGGAAAAAGATATTGTTTTTTAGATATCTCGTAGCACTCCCTAAAATTTATGTTTTCAAAAATTTAAAATTGAATTCAACACAAAAAAAAAAAAACATAAAGAACCGACTTAACTCATGAAAATACAATTTGGATTTTACTGTAATATTTCCGCCGTAAACCAGTATTTTTAAAAATTAAATTACCTTAAAATTATGAAAGTATTTTGTGAAGTGATTTTTAATGGACTAAGAATAATTTTATCCATTTCATTTTTAATCTTATTATTTTTAATAACTGTTTTTAGTCAATATTACAATATGATCCGAAACCTGATAATCCTAGATTTTTACTCTTGTACATGTAATAATCTCTTGGGTTATTTATGAGGCAAACTCAGTTTAAACTAGCCCTAATGATATATTTATCAGTTGAGAGTAAACTATGGCATTGTTTCTTGGCTAAGTTGTAATTAGCCCTGGAGAGGAGAAAAGGCTGTCAGGGGGTTTGACTTATTCATATCCCAGTCCTAGCAACTCGGTCGATACCTAACTCTAGGAACCTTTTTACCTCCCGTGTACCTTCAACGCGGCTCCTACAAACGAAAATAGACAATTTAATGTTATTCTATTATTGAAAACCAACTAAAAACACTGGAGAATAAATAAATAAATAAATATATATATATATATATATATATATATATGAAAAAAAAGCTTAAGTTCGTATATAAAAAATAATAAATAATCTGGAGTTCATGTTGCAACAATATGTTTGTTGACATTTACAAACATTTGACCTACATTCGTCCATTGGGTCATTTTAGCACTTACACGGTATTTTATAATAAAAAAAAAAAATGTTTTTAATAATTCACGAAAATTTTAAGGTACAAAATATTACGCTAGCCCATAAGTTCTTTCTTTTTTCTTTGTTGCTTAAGGTTTTTTTATTGGGGTGGCCAACGCTCCTCCCCCCCTCCCCGAAGTCTGCGGCTATGCTTGCGGCCCACGCAACATGCTGTATTGGCCGTAAGACAGAAACTCTTGCAGTTTGATCGGGACTTTCTACCTCATCTTCCGTACTCCCTAGACCTTACTTCTTTCTTTCATCATTAAATTATTTGTGTGATAAATGTCAAAAATCCGAAAGCGAAATAAAAATACATCTCGATGAATATTTTACAATTAAGTCTTAACATTTTTTTAAAAAAAGGTATAAGAGGCTTCATGAGAAGTTGTCGAAGGTAATATAGCAGAACGGTTCATATATACACAGTAAACCAACGTTAATCAACGGATAAAGAAATATAAAAGAACTCTAGTGTCATCAACGTAAGTTGGTAATATTTGTAAACTCTTTAGAAGAAAAAAAAAATAATGGAAATAAAAAAATAATAATAATAGCTAGATAGAATATTAAATGAAAAAGATATTTAAAAACATATTGAAAATGAAATATATCAACAAAAAAAAACAATAAAATAAAAATTATATTTATTGCTATATTTAATTTAATAGCTTATGGATTTTAAGGAAATTGATTACTGTTTCTACGTTTGATTCGTTATTGTCTAATGCTACTGATTTATCCGGTTTTAGAGATAACCTATTTAGGCTTGAAGTATAATAAGGGCATTCCTGGAAAATATGATTGATAGAGAGAGGGCTATTGCAGTGTTGACAATTTGGTGGTGGCTGCCTGTTGATGAAATATAATCGAGTTGAAATGTAAAAGACAAGATAACAATAGATATGAGAAACGATTAACAATAAAAAGAAAATAATCATATGTAGATGAAAGATATAGTCTAATAACTTAACAATAAACTTAAAAATAAGCCCAACATTAATAAATAATATGGAATATATATAAAGAGAGTATAAAATAATGATAACAAAGTTAGAAATAGAAAGTAGCGGAATATTATTATTATTTCTAACTTTCTTATCTTTATTTTATATTTCCTTTATTTATATTTCATATTGCTGCTTCTCCACTTATTTATTAATGATAAGTTTATTCTACCTACATGTTATTAGACTATACCTTTCACATATGATTATTTTCTTTTTACAGTTAATAGTTTCTCATCCCTATTATCATGTTGTCTTTTCTTAGAGCTGAGACGAAGGCAAAAATAAAAATAAATTATATTTATTTTTATAACACGGCATCATTTGTTAACATATACATTGTCAGAATTATTACATCATTTATGTTATATAATTAATTATAATTATATTAACAATGTATAATATAATTAAATTAGGTCATTTTGGTTTTCATTAAATTAGAGTACCTACCAGGATCCCTTAGTTTTTTTTTTCATTTTTAAACAAACATGGTCCTTATAATACATTGGACGTATTTAGGTAATTTCATTGATATTATTAAAAATATATAAAAATTATTACAGTGCCAAAATTATTTCCAAAAACGATATAGTTATTTTGATGATATGTACCGGGTCGATGGAAGTCTTCATTTTTTACGCTTATATCAGAATCATGAAAATGTCGTATATATCGTTTCTTAACTAACCGATTCAGTTATTAAAAAAAAATCGATGCTACAATTTTTTTTCATAGGCCACTTTGTTTCTGATTTGGTAAGAAGCATAGAGGATTTTGTAGTAAGAGGTAATTGTAGGGATATGTTGGTTTTTAATAATTAAACTAATTTTTTTTTTAAATGACATTGAAGACAATGTTAGATGGAGAAATACGTCTGTAAAATTGACCAACTTGTTTCAAATACGTCCTGGACACTTCCTTTTTTGTGCCGGTTTAATGGATAGAAGGAATAGTTCTCACGGCACGGGTAGTGCAATACACAAACGGCTGTTTACAAACAAGTCTAAGGAATTTTAATGGTCGAAAGGCCTCGCTGGTCGCAGATTTCCTTATGAGGAGGAATGGGTGTCAAGGTAAAGGAGAAAGGATTCAACCGGTCGTCCTTGCCAGGAAGGAGTTGCGATCTCAGGTGCAGGAGGTTAACTGAAGCGGACCGAACACGGCCAGTCGGAATGACATTCGGAGTGATGATTGACATTCTCATTGTTCATTTAAGGTTAAAGTTGATGTACTGATAAACTGTAGGCGGATTTCCAAAAATCTTTAAATCCAAGTTTCAATCACGACAACTGCAGGGGAAACTGAGGTAAAAGTGGATGGGAGACTAACCTATCTATTACTTAGGTTAGTTACTTATGTTTGTTGTTTATACTACAAATGAGGAACCTTTTCATCAATAGAACCGCACTAAGGTAGTGAAAACGGAGGCCAAAATATTTTTTTAATATTTTAACGTTAATTTATTTTTTTTTTTTATAAGTACACACACACATAAAATATACAACATTACATCAAACTCATTATGTATATCGGTAATATTAGTGGAAAAGGTCGTATATAACATTTTTACATGTTTATTCTCTTTGTCTTAAAGGTTATCACCTTTAGGAGTTATCACCTTCATAGTCTGCAACTGAATAAATAAAAATTCAATTTTTATTCAATTTATATATTAATATTCAAGATATTCAATTTAATTGTAATAATTTTCAAATTTCCGTAATCTAAATAACTAAATATTATTT